CGGGGCGCCCGGCGCGCCCGGGGCTGTGGAGCTCCCCCGCCCCGCCCCCAGAAAGCACAGGCGCCCCCGGAATCCCTGCGCGACCCCTTCGATTGATGGGAAGACGGCGAACGCGTGCAGCGCGCTCCCTGCGCCGCAGCACCTGCCCGCGACCCGCCCTCCACGGAGAGCGGGGCTCTCGCCCACGCCAGGGCGCCTGTCCGCGCGCGCGGCGGCTCCGGGGTCTGGTGAGGCGTTGGGCGTTTGTGCGCATGGCCCATGGCCGAGCCTGGCAGCTTTGGCTGTCTGAGCTGGGACCCGGAAGGTGGAAGGATGGGAAGGCAGGAGCAGGCACCGCCGGGTCACTCCGACACCCAGCGCCTAGCCGCACAGCAGGCAAACGGCCCGGACCGTGCGCCCCTGCCCGGCCAAGCCTCTGCGGGGTCAGCAGCAGGAGAGTCCGGCGTGCTTCCAGCCTGAGGCCAGGCATAGGGTGGGCGCCCAGCACGCAGGTGGCATGGGGAGGGGGAGGCCCCTGCATCCCCGACCTGGCCTCCCGCGACCGGTGGCCCCGGCCTGCCTGCTGCTTAGTCACCTGTTCCTTGGCCATGGAAGGTTTCTATTTGTGGCTTTGCAGCCCTCCCTCCCCGGCCCCACACGGATAAGGCCTCAGATGCCTGGAGTCCTCTGCCTGAGAGATGGACCAGTCCTCATCCCGTGGCCAGGTCCACAGCCGGCTCATCAAGGCTTGTTGAACTGGATGAAGGAGAATTGATCTTCTGTCCCCGAACACCCTGGGACAGCCACCTGTCCCCGGGGCAGCGGGGCCGCGGCTCCTCTCTGAGCTTTTCTGTAGAAGCATGCCCGTGCGGGACAGGCGCGGGGCACGCGCGTCTGCCAGCTGTGCTCAGTCACCTTGGGACTCGGAGCAGAGGCTGGCACAGGCCCAGGTCTGCGTGCAGACAGATGGTGTAATGAGACGCACCTGGGCCTGGGCAGCCGGTGTCAGTAGACACTGGAGCCCGTGACCATCCACCAGCTCTGCCATCAGTGTGGGCCTGGTCACCCCAGGGCAGGCCAGGGTTTGTGGGTCCTGCTAGACCTCACAGTGGCTCCTGGTGACGTGAGCCTTTCAGAAAGCTGGGAGTTCACACGAAACAGACTGGATGCCGGGGCTGGAGGCTGGGGGGGGGGGCAGAGCTTCAGAACGGAGCTGGGGGCTGGTCCAGGAGGCAACGTGTGTCTGCACACACATCTGTGCACTTGTGTGTCTATGTATGCTGTGTG